CACTAGCAGTTCTCTGTAACTGGCACAAACTCAGTTCAAGGGAGGCCCTGCCCAGCTCATCATCAGGACCTGGAAGCCTGCTCCTCCCTCACGCAGCAGCCTCTGCACGAGGGTCGGAACTCACCAGCCGCTCTGCCAGGCTGCCAGGCAGCCCTGCCCGATTCAGCCTCACCCGTTCCACTGCCCCCTCACCCGGTCACGACGTCCAGCTCTCCTGCCGTGGGGTGAGCCAAGGACGCTGGGAACACCTTCCAGGAGCAGGGTGACCCCAGGGGCAGGCTAAGGGTGCCCATGGCTCTCCCACCCTGCTTAGCTCTCTGACGCTGCCTCCGCTCTTTCTTACTTCTTGGGGTCCCAGGCACTGGGCATTTTGCTTTCCCTGCCCCCCGACATTATCCGGCCCGCATGGACCACGATGACCTCCTTTATGAAGGATGCAGCGCCACCTAGGCAGGGGTGAAGGGAGGCGGGAGGGGGGGTAGCCCCCGCTGAAACTGGCCTGTTGTGACAAAGCCTCGCTAACTGGGGAGGGGTCCCCAGCAGGCGGGCAGATGGGGCGAGGCGGAAGGAACCGCGAGATGCCCTGGCAAGGCCCAGCACCACGACACGCGATGCAGAGGCGAGAAGTCTGTGCACGGTGGCGAGAGGCGCCCACCTAGACTGGTCCCTGCTCCTCCCACGAAAGCCGTCTCCCTACATCTGCCCCTTTCACCCAGAGCTGCTCCCCCTTCCTCAGCTTCTCTGCTCCCCTCTGCTCTCTCACTGCTGGTGCTTTTGGTATCTTCCCTCCCTGTTCCCCCAACCTCCTGCCTGTAAAAAGAAACCTCCACCTGGCTTTTTACGTACCCAAAAAGAAACCTCCACCTGGCTTTTTACGTACCCAAACAATTTGATTTGTTTCTTAGGCAACTCGGCCTCCATATTTTGTCACGTGTACCGAGCCTGGGCTGTACTTAAAAACAGAGTCTGCAGATCTCAGATGTTGTACAGAAATTGGTGGCTCCCTCGAAGGTGTTGCCAGAAAACACGAGGATGAAAAGTCCCCGTTATTCACCTGGGGTGGGGTGTGTAAAACCTCATGAAACCCCAGGCCAACCAGCCTGTCAAGAGTGAAACTGAGTCAGAGGGGAGACTAATAGGCGCGAGACAAAGCAGACTACAGACAAAGGTGCCAGCAGACAGCAGGTGGAGGGAGGCTCTTTTCATACCCGGAGCCCCAGGGAGCCCCTCACCCCAGCCCTGGTTCTCCAGTCCCCCTACAAATGCCGTGCTCCACATCTCAGCCGTGCCCCGGGCCTTGTAGGGGCCCGAGCACAGTGCTCACCTACAAGGAACCAGCAGCATCGACAGACCCCCAGGAGCAGGACCTGCCCTCTGCCCCCAAGCCCGCCCCCCTCTGCTCTGGATGCTGCAGAGAGAACACAAGGCCCTCACGTGACAGTGCTGGCGGCCCATGTTCATCATTCCCGGCCTTCTTCTCCAGCAAAGACCAGTGTTTCTTCCCGAAACACAGCCACCTCCAGGCAAAGAGCCTGCAGCCTGTCCTCCGGGTCCGCCGGGGAGCCCCAGCAGGCCCAGACCATCCTTTAATATCCAGGCACGTGGCCCTGTCCCCAGAGGCAGGGGTCCACAGAACAGAACAGCACGGACCCCTCCTCCCTTCATGTCTTGCGTGAAGCCTGCAGTCAGTTACCAAGGATAGTGTCTTCAGTCTGCTCAGGTGCTGTAACAGGACACCATAAATTGGGTGGGCTATAAACATCAGACAACGACTCTCACCATTCTGGAAGCTCAAAATCCTAGGTCGAGGTGCCGCCAGATTCGGTGTTGATGGGTGCTCGCTTCCTGGGTCATAGCCAACGTCTCCTTGCTGTGTCCTTGCAGGACGGGAGGGATGGGGGAGCCTTCTGGGGTCTCTCATTTAAGGACACTAATCCCATTCATGAGAGCTCCGCTGTCATGACCTAAGCCCCTCCCCAAGTCCCCTCTCCTAATGCCATCACCCTGGGGGTTAGGATCTCAGCACATGAGTTTGGGGGGCACACACGTTCCGACCGTAGCAGATGGCATTCACCTTGCAGGGGTTAACAAGGGGCACGTGTCCCGATGCATAACAGTCCTGACCTGCACACGGGGCCCTCTGCTCCTCCAGAGCAACCCTGGCATAAGTGTGGTGGCCCCGCAGGGACCCAGGGCTGTGATTTGGAGGAAGGGGGGAGTCACTCACACTCCAGGAATAAATGAAGGACTCCTCCCTGGCTTCTCTAGACCACTCATGAGCATTCAGATCCCCGAATCCCCGAACTGAGAGGGAAGGCCTGAGGCCCACGTGCCGACGTGCTTCAACCTACATCACGTACCTGCAGGGTTGCTGCGCAGAGGGCCCCACCTCCACCTGCCCCTGCGTCCTACTCTCAACCCAGCAGCCAGAACCCAACCCAGGTCAGATCAGGACCCCCCTCCACTCAAAACCCTCCAAGAGCCACCTCCCCTCCCCCAGAGAAAAGGCCAGAGATGCGTGTGTGGGAACGTGCACAGTGGCTCGACTCAAACCTGCCCAAACCTGGCAACGAGCAAGCGTCCGTCAGCGCGAAGATGGGTAAAGAAGCCGTGGCCCATCTGTCGTACCACGGAACATCGTTCGGTATTGAAACAGAGGCACGCGTCTGACACACACAGCAATGTGGATGGATCTCAAGTACACTCCACGGAGCGAACGAATCCAGGTGCCAAAGACTGCCCACTGTGTGCATCCACATGCGTAAGGTTCTAGAACATAACATACTGCCTGGCGCTGGAAATCAGATCCGAGGGCGCCCTGGCTGCGGGGGGGAGGCAGGGAGACCATAAAGGGGCAAAACTCATCAAACTAGAGGCTTAAGATCAGAGCCTTTTACTACGTGCCAGCTACACCTGAGATTAAGGGGAAGATGTGAAAACAGAAAGTTCTGTGATCCAAGAGTTAAACCCACTCTGGCCACTTGCTCCCCTCTGACAACTTCTCACACGTCTGGTTCCACTCCAGCCCCCTCGCTGCCCCTCCCTCCTGCCACAGGGCCTTGGCACATGCCGATCCAGCTCCCGGAACTCTCTGCCCCAGGTCACCCGCTGGCCTCACTCAGGGCTTGCACAAGTGCCGCCTGACGTGCACCGGCTTTGTTTTCACCTGCTCTGTGTGTGTGTTACTCGTCCTCCCCCACTAGAATGGGAGCAAGGACTTTGCTCACAGCTGGGCTGTAGCCCCAGCGCCTAGAACTGGGTCCGGCCATCAGGTGCCTTTAATAAACATGTGCGTGATGAATGGCTTTGGTCAGCGTCCCTCTGCGGGTGTCCCCTTGTGGAGCAGCTACACACACACCCGTGGTAAAGGCTCTTAGGATAACACGTTCGTCTGAGCGTGGACAGCTTCCTCTCTCCCACAGCCACCAGCTTCCCTGTCCCTCTCCCTGCCTCCACGTGGCCCATGTCTGTGACAAGCCGGCAACAGTCACTGCTGCTCTGTCAGGGATGCCTCGAGCTAATTCCTGCAACTGCCAGAGAGGATGACTTAATACCTCTGCACAAGACAGAGTAATTATTTCTAAACATAGCCGCCTCCCCCCGCGCTGTCACTATCAGATGCCGAGAACTCTGTAGTCAGTGCCCTAACTCCCAGCCTGGGGAACCCCAGGTCATGTAGGCATCCCCTGAGGGCACCCAATGGGCACAGGCCACACACACCACCCAGCTCACGGGCCCTGCCTCCCCGACTGAACTGGGCTGACAGACACCGGCACCGACCAGGGCCTGGTGGCCTCCGGGGTTCATTCACCCTGATCTCAACCCTCCACCCTACTCGCCAATCACCTGGCCCCACCCTGCCCTATCCCTAACTCCTGCCTAGCTCCCTCATGGGGGGGGGGGTTCCCAGTGCAAGACTAGCAAGGCTAAGAGAGGAGAGAAGACCACCCCCATATTCCTTTCAGGAAACTGAGATGAGAAATCTGGGGACCACCTCCCAGATGGGAAATGTCTAGAAAAGGCCAATCCAGAGACAGAAAACAGATGGGCAGCTCCCTGGGAGAGGGGGACATGGGGGTCATAGCTAGAACATATGAGGTTTCCCTTAGTGGCAATGGAAGTTCTACTGTTCTACTGCAGCCGTCCCTGCACAGCTATGTGAGCATTCCAGAAGCCACTCAGCCGCACGTTTCAGACAACGAGTTGCAGGGTATGTGGATTATATTTTGACGAAGCCGTTGAACAAAAAAAGCAGAAGGCTCTGTAGCAGTTTCCTCGATTCCACATGTTTGGACGACCGTGCACGTGCAAATCGCAAAAGGAACGCAGGTCTGCACACTCCGTTCACTGCTCCGCTGCTGGAGCAGTAAGAGCCCCCCCCCCCAAACCCACAGAAGGGCCGGGGAGCCCACACTCAGCTGTGGGGACGGTGGGGAGGGCAATGAGGAAGGAAAGGGCAGTGCACGAGGCTCAATGATCATGAACTCCCAACTGACCCTGCCCCCAAATCGTATTCAGTATGAGGCGGTCTTCACGAGCCACAGTCAGCACACGTGTTACCAACACAACAGTATAACCGCCACCGCCTCGTCCACTACTTCCCTCCGGCCCCAACCACTGGGCTCTCCTGGGCATCTCCCCACCCCACAATGCCCCAGAGACTGCCCGTACCCACAGAATCCTCTGTCATGCCAAGGTCTGAGGGCTAGTGCGGGCATCGGTGCCTAGGTCCACAGAGGGGGGACAGGGTGTCTCCACCCTCAAACTCGCAAGGCCAGCCAGACACCCATTCGGAGGGACAGTCCCACAGCATCTTGGCTACGGCTGTCCTTCCCACGGCGCAGAACTGTGAGCCAATGACAGCGCCCCAAGAGGCCCACGGAGCCTGCGTGAGGACACACACACCCCCCTCCCCCACGTGTCCTGGCGCCATCGCTCAGTGACTGCCCACCCAGCAAGCCCGCAACCGTTAAAACACACGAGCGTCACTCAGGCCTTACCTGCCCCTGCCTTGGCGTGTCTGCACAGGTCGGAGCTAAATGCAGGAGGTGCGGCGGTGGTCGGCAGAGCTGGTCCTACAGGAGACGCAGACCTCAGAGTCGGCAACAGGAAGCATCCCAGGACACCACGAGACTCACTGGATGGGCTGGTGAGCGTCGCTGGGGACACGCGAGGCGAGCTCTTCTCGTGGCCAAGACGGACCCACGAACGGACCCGCAGGGCAGCCTGGTGTGGGGGTCGCGGGCAGTGACGGAGATCTCGCCAGCAGCCCAGGCCGACAGTCAGGACTCACGGAATGTTCCCCGTCCTCCCCGCGGCAGGTCACCGAAAAATGAGGCGGCCGCGGTATCCGTTCTGCTTTCTGAGCCCCGCAAACCCTGAGCGGCAAAACGACGCCAGGCGCACCCTGTAGGCCGTGGAGGAGGCGTGCCAGCAGAGGAGGCCCGCCGTGGCGCCGCCACAGGCCCATCTACCTCCTCCGGGTCCGCGCCCTTCCGGATTCCGAGGCTGGAAGGCACCCCGAAGGTGGTGACCTGACCCGCGGGCTCCGCGCGCGTTCCGCGCGTGCTCTGGCCCGGCTCTCCAAGCACGCATGCGTCGTCGCGGTATCCCAGCCTCCCTGGCGGCAGGGCGGGGCCGCTTACTTTTCACCCGCACCCGAGCCGTCGTCGTTTCCCAGCTTCCCTCGCGGCAGGACGGAGCCCTGTGCTCTCCAAGCACGCATGCGTCATCGCGGTATCCCAGCCTCCCTGGCGACAGGGCGGGGCCGCTTACTCTTCACACGCACCTGAGTCGTCGTCGTTTCCCAGCTTCCCTCGCGGCAGGACGGAGTCCTGTGCTCTCCAAGTACGCATGCGGCATCGTGGTTTCCCAGCCGCCCTCACCGCAGGGCGGAGCCTCGTGCTCTCCGAGTGCGCCTGCGTCCTCCTGGTTTCCCAGCCGCCCTACCGCGCCGCTAGGAACCACGTGGCGGGTGGGTTGTGGGCAGTTCAGGCCCCGGCCCTTGAAGTGCACCCGCTCACACCACGGCGACCCCAGTGTGCCCCGCCGTGGCCACCGCGGAGTGGCACTACGCATGGCTTAGCCTCGGGTCGGAAGGGGGCGGCGCAGCCTACATTGGACTTGGCGCTAGTGAGGGGTAAGTCTTGACTGGGGTGAAGACATGAGACGTCTGTGTTTATTAGCGCGGAAGAACCGGTCTAATTCTGCGTTGACTAGCCGTTTTATTGAAAACAAGTTTTCTAAGGGAAATGTCACTGCAAGTTCCCAAGGACTGAAAGAACTTTTTGTGACTGATAGATACTGAAATGGGGGACTGAGACTTTTCCGATGCCTTATGTCAACGGTCCCCTAAACAAGGAGGTGGAAAAGCAGAAACACACCGAATGAGAGACATGCAGTCCCCAGCGTGAGGACGCCGGGAGGCTGACATAGCTGGGTGTCCTGGCCAGGGACCGGGACAAAGGTCATGACCTGCAGGTTGGGGGCGGGGAGGGGGGAACCTCGCTGGTGTGTGCCCAAAGAACTTCTCCAAATCGTGGAAATTGAATACTTGGAAGGCCGAGGTGAGGCACAGGTGCGGCAAGGTCTGGTGGAGTCCCGGGGACCTTGCCCAAGCTCCATACAACGAGGTTCCCCCCCTCCACCCACACCTCTAGGGGTGACCTGAGGCTCATTCTTGGGGGAGTGAACAAGACAGACCCAGACTCAGGGATATCAGTTCACGGAGGGTGGGGTCAGGCACAGTGTCAAACAAGAAGAGGCTTGAATAGAAGCGTCCGTGTTGAGAGCAACAGCCCCACCCAGCCAACCCCCCTGCCAGCTCCAGAACACCAGAAGCCGGACCTCAACCCCACCCTAGGCAAGAGATCAGAGGCTCCTTCTCTGCAGAGACTAAAACGTCCTCCAGAGGAAAGATTTACAAATATACTGACATTTGGCAGTCGAAGTAAAAAGCAAGCTGTCTGTCTTTCCCTGCCGTGAAGCCCATGGCCAGTGTCAGTGCTCAGACCTCATCCACTCCTGAGCGCTCCTTTAGACTCCAACAGCGGTACCTGTATCTTGTGTCTGCAGGTTCCCCTGAAACCTCAGAACACTGCTCTGCCCTCTTGTAGCAGGTGGACAGGTCCTGACTTTACCCTCCCCCATAGTCCTCAATCAGTGATTCACAACAGGGCATAAATGCCCCTGCTCCATCATCATGCAGGTGTGGTAGTCTTGAGGGGCGTGTTTCGCCCCATTTCTCAGAGTTCTCCGCAGGATCGAGTTCCAAACACACGCAGCAGTGGTTGGTCTCGTAACGCACCCTTTCTTGTTAGCCTTCCCTTCCGTGTTCCACAACCCATTACCCAACTGGGGTGTCTTTCACCTCCTAAATAAACTTCCTGCCGTCAAATCCTCAATTTGGGAAGAACCCAAATATAGAGACAGTCTACAGGCTCTCCACGCAGGCACGTACACACAGCCTCCAATCAGCTTGCACGCTTCACTCTTAAGTGTGTTGGGACAGACAGAGGTCACCAGATATTTGAGAAAAGTCTCCAGGGTGAACAACAGAAACCAAAACAACAAATGGGTGACATTCAGAGCCAGTGCTGTGGTAGCCAGCCTCCTGCGGGTTGGCTCCCTCCTGGTCCTCATGCTCTGTGTGGTCCCCAACCCCTGCCAAGGTTGGCCGGCATGACTGATATAATACGGCCAAAGAGACGATCGTTCTCTCTGAGATTAGATTATTAAAAACATTGCAGCTTCTATCTTAGTACTCTCTCTCTCCCTCCCTGATCGCTCACTTTTGGAGGAAGCCAACTGCCATGTCAGGCAGCCATATGGAAAGGCCCATGTGGTGATGAGTGGAGGCCTCCAGCCACCAACCACATGACTGAGCTTCGGAGCAGATCCTCGTCTCTATCCATGCCTTAAGTCACTCCGTTCCTAGCTGATACATTGACCGCAAACTCAGGAGAGATCCTGGGCCGGAACCACCCAGCTAGGTCCTACCAGATTCCTGGCCCACAGAAACTGTAAGACAGGAAATGTTGTTTTAAGCCACAAAAGTATGTCCGGGTGTAATCTGCTATGTAGTACTGATAACTAGTATAAGTACATACTTTGCAAAGAGAAGAAAACCACAAAGGTTTATCTTCCCTGAGATGAAGAAAGGCAAGGCATGGATGAAACAAGAAACAGAGACAAGAATGCCCGGAAGTTACAAACATAAGAACGTAAATCTGAAGTCAGTAGAAGCACCAGAAAATAAAGCTAAGAAAGTTTTCCAGAAAACAGAACCGAAAGTGAAGGAAATGGACAATGGGAGATGTTTTTTTCTAATTAGAGTTAGATGATGAAGCCAGGAGATCCATCAGCTGACAAATAGGAATTTAAGAACGAGAACACAGAGAAAATCAAGAGAATAAAATTATCAAAGAAATAATACCAGAAACTTTCCCAAAACTGAAGGGCACGAGCCTTCAGACTGAAGGGCACACCAAGTTTCCAAACAATAAAAGAACAAAGGCGTACTTTTATGGCATTTCAGAACACCAAGGATAAAAGCTTTCAGAGAGAGGAAAATTAGGTCATAAAATAGGATCAAAAATCTGAATGGCATCAGACTTCTCAATAGCAGCATGGAAACCAGAATTTAGTGGGAAAAATGCCTTCGAAATTCTAGGTAAAAATAATTTCAAAACTAGGAGTCCATACTCAAGCCGACTGTGAACTGAACATGAGAAGAAGGCATCTGAAGATATTAGAGAAGAATGAACTCCACTAAGACTAGGTAGGAAACAAACAGGTAGAGCTGCAAGATCCAGGAAGCATGAACTCCATCACAGGAGTGAGTAAAATAAAGTTCTGGACTAGAACCAGGTAGCAGTCTGGAGGGTACCTGCATGACAGGGCAAGAGTCCGACGGTTCCAGAACAACGTCTCCAAGGAGAAAAGAGAGCTGATAAACTGACAGGCCTGACCAGGTGGAAGCTGGCATGGAAAGGCATGTTGGAAGGTGTACCTAAGCCTAAGTGATTATTCTAGAATAAACAAAAAGTACCAAAACAAAAAAGCTGTAGTTATGATAATCATAATAAAGAAAACCTGTATGTAGATTTAACCAAAAATTGAGATACTATTTGGAGAAGCTGGAAGAATATCAAAAAGAGGTATAAGATCTTAGAAAAGAGGTGGGAAGGAGGAATGCCTGGCTGGCTCAGTCAGTGGAGTGTGTGACTCTTGATCTCAGGATTGTGAGTTCAAGACCCACATTGGGTATAGAGATTACTTTAAAAAGGAAGGAAGGAAGGAAGGAAGGAAGGAAGGAAGGAAGGAAGGAAGGAAGGAAGGAAGGAAGGAGAAAGGAA